TTCTTCCACATATTCAGGTCTAACATCATTACGCCGACTATAATGCCGTAATTAAACCATTTGCCTACCGGTGCGCATCGCATAAAACAAAGAGGCATTTAATTGAAGTGCAAATATAAATAAAGTGAATATATTTGAAACAATTTAGACATTCTGTGCGCTTAAAGTGAAATTAAACATCAATTGAAGTTCAAAACAACAAAAACAAAAGCCATAAACAAAGTCTGAGTTTTCAAAGAAAATGTCTGTAAAATAAACTAAAGAATATTCTGTGCCTTAAAATAATTCACGTTAACTGTTATAATAAAAACAATTATTATAACACACTTTTATGTTAAATTTGACGGAATTTGTTATAAAAACCGCACATAAATATGTTATAAAATAAATTATGAATGTTTTTACGATAGAAACAAAAAACATAGCACTCGCGGTCGTAATGATAAACAAAATTTCTCGATTCATTACCTGTGATGTTGAAAACCATTTCAGGAAATTTAAGCGACTTTTTGAAGAATTTCAATGTATAGGAAGACTGAACTAAACCGGGAAGTTTTATGTTTAGATCGCAAACAAAGTGGGGAAAGTCCCAGTCCTATGCAAATAAACAACAATTAAAACATATAATTAGATTACAAAATATAATTTTCAATTCAAATTCACATTATAAATAATTATTGAACGCATTCCCAATGAATGTCCTGTTATTCACAATCTAAAGGCTAATTAAATAAACAGACATTCGTTTCGATAGACATTTTGCTTGAAAGTCAAGTCTAATTATTTACACAAAAACTTGCACAACACTTAATGCTATAAATTATCAACAACATTTAAATATAACTGCTACAGAATATTTGTACAAAAACTGTTTCCATTAAAAATGATTTTTCGTGAATATCTTATGAATATCTAAACACACTATTCATCACTCGTTAACCACTGCCTACGCATACCATTCCACTCCAACTATTACTCACAAATTAAATGAAAAACTAATTTCATAACAATTCATACATAAACTGAATGGACAGATAGTTTGAGAATTAAAAGTTCCCACAAATTCTTAGCATATAAATAGCACTCAACACTCATGACAAACACTTTCATTGGTAACAAATTGCTTAAACATCACTATTAATACAAACGCAAAGCACACATGATATGATCGATGCGTTCATACATTACAGAGGGGACAGTTGGGTATGTGTTAAGTGATGGAGATTGTGGTCATACCTGCATAACGATCAGCAGATCCATGACGAGTATGGATGAGGCGAGAAAAGCGCGCGACAACTCTGTGCTGGCGATGAAGTCTTTGTTGAGGTTATCCCACGATATCTTGTCGGTCACTATGAGAGTGATGACCAGCGCTGCGATCACGAGAGCGCCCGTCCAGAAGACACATATACGGGTCGTCGTGTGTTTGTGCCAAAACGACCGCAACGTTTGCGCCCAACCTTTGCGTGCAATGAGACAATATTTCAGACAAATAGGCAACCGATTTGACATTTGCTATTCAACTGGAAAACTAAATATTTGCTTAAAATTTGCAGTTTTTTTTGCAAAAAATAACTCCACTTTGAATCAAATGATTGCTATATTCTTGAAATTTTTTTCATAAGTGAACACAACCGCTATAATAGCATTGAATTGAATCCAAAAAGAGTTATTCATTTGATTCCGTAAGTTATGCTAAAAGTCAACACAAGGCGTAAAAAAGAGAGTTTGAAATATTTTTACACACTTTTTGACTACAACTCAAATACACAGAGATATAAATGAATGAACAAAAATAAACTCCAAAATTAATAACAAGAATAAAAATAATTCCTCAGAAAAAGAAAGAAACTAAAAATACAAACTATTTTGCAAAGAATTTAATCTCTAATCAGAGCTCATATCTAAACCCATAACTTAAAATGTAATTAAAAATTAATTTAAATACAAATTTCAATACAAGACTATAAACTCTAAACTAATATAAAAAGAGGTAATAATAAAAATAATAAAAAATCATTAAAACGATTCAATAAAACAAATATTGTACTAAAGTATAAAAAGCACACAAAGGGTGGAGACATACCGGGGTACAGATTGTCCTGGAGCATCATATCGGTGATCATCCAGGCGGTGAAGAAGTCGCCTAACCACGTGCCACAAGCGGCCACTTTCATGAACGAGGCGTAGGTCATACCCATATAGGAGTTGATGAGCAGCTCCTCGGCCTTAGGGTTGGCCCAGACGAGCAGAAAGTTGTAGATAAACGAGAAGAAGTAGCACGAGATGAAAACGCTGGCGAACATGACCATCCAGGTGCCGCACTCATCCCGGAACATCTTGAGCCGCAACACCCGCCGCAGTATAATGTGATGGAGAATGTATTTGCCAAAGACTAGACCCACGAATATGGCCGTCAACCACAGGCCCACCTTGACGGCCGTC